GTAACGCTGAAGAACAGTCTGCCTCAGATGGTAAAATTCATTGGATTACTGAACTGCTTGTTCCCCAGTTTACATGTAGAGGACTGCACAAAATGGTTAATGAACAACCCCCATCACATTACATCTTTCCACTGGCTGCCGGCAATGCGGGAAGCTGTAGATTCAGAAGGCCCTATTGGATCTTGGGGCCCTGCTGCTGGCCTGAAACCCACCCTGCTCTTCAGAAAACATTAAATATATTTGGACAGCCATGCTGGTTTGATGCCAAAAGTCCACCTCATCCCACATCCTGTCCCTGACCAGCACAGATGTTTGGGAAGAGAGTGTAAGAACTGAGCAAACGCAGAGTGATTTTTCCCTATAGCATGCAGTGATATTTCCTCCTGGCTTTCAGCTATCCACAGCTTTGAGACTTCCTTGTGGTTTTGTACCTAACAGCCCTCCTTGGGGCTGTTTGTTTCCCTGAGCGTTTCTCTAATTGGGCTTTCAATCTATTTATGCCTAAAGTAGGTAAAAGCAGTTTCCCCATTGCTCCGGAGTCCCGTCACCAGTTCTTCTGAGCTTTATAACATCTCAGTCTTTCCTGAGTAGTTCTTTTTCCCCTCTCCCTACCTTGCTGCACACCCAGGCAACACTAAAGGCAGAAGTTGACAGAAGTCTCTTCTGTACGAACCTTCAAGCACATCAATAATCTGCTGGAGCTCAGAAGGGTCGCTCAATTGCAAGGGCACTCACATGCTTCAGCGAGGTTCAATGTTTAACCATAATACATATGACAATATTAGGTCAGCAGTATGTGGTGAAACAAAAAGGCCATCTCCTGCAGCAGTCAGTCCCTCTCTGTGGTCAGTAACTGTTGTCTAGGAAGAAAATCAAAAGTGAAGTAAGATGGTAGTGAAGTTTCCTTAGAGAGGCTCTCTTCCAGCTGAGTCTGAATGCCACATTTATCAATGTCTCAGCTCCAGTCAACCCTCAATCATAACCCTAGAGGTGTCCAATGCACAAAAATACATGGGAAAAAATGGTAAAGGTGACTTTTTTTTCCATGACAAAAAAAAAAAATAATTTTTTTTTAGAGTACTTTAATTTGATATGAAAGAAAACAAAATCCTCTCTTAGGAACTTACATCCATCACATAGCAGCAGTGATTTCAGCATTCCTGGAAAACCTTATGTACAGCAGGCTTACTTCAATATGCTCTTATCAGCCCCAGCTGCCAGCCCATCCAGTATGTGAAGCAGGGCAGCTGAAGGAGCCTTTTGATCACGGCAGCACACACATGCACAGCATTACTCCAGCATAAAGGGTGACCTGAAATGCCTTAGCTCCATCCAGATGTTGGGATGCATAAGACAGCAGCCCCTTTTCTTGCAAAGCCAGTGTGCAAAGGAAGGGTAACTCAGTCTCCAGTGAGCACACCCCGACTTCATGCTGTCCAGTGCACAAACCCAGTAGAAGTGATTCTTCAACGGCATTGGCAGCAGCGATTCAACACCAGGCTCTCACCAGAAAGGAGCCCAGTGGCAGGTGGAGCATCCAGGCAGGGTCGCTGTGCTGTGGGCATGGCCACCTACCCAGTCTCTGGTGTGCTGGTTAACCAAGCAGAAAAGAAGCCAAGACTTTGTTCCAGCAAGGAACCAACCATGGGAAAAAGGAACAGCACAGGTTGCATGCATTTCAATGGTTGAAAATACATCGGCCTGATGACCCAGGAGACAGGTGGCATGGGAAGGCATCGCTGTATGCCACCCTGGTGTGCCTGTTCCACTGAGTTCCCATAAAAACTAATGCAATGGTGGCAGTTTACAAACCTTGGTCCAGAGTGAAGCCCCTTCTCCAGAGCAGTTTTGTAGCAGGGTCACTGGCTCCAGGGGGATGCCCAGAGGTTAGATGTTGCTTCCCACTTGGTTAACATAGCCCCACAGCAGCCATCACGGCACTGATGACCCCTGTGCACAAGGGACAGGAGCCAGGGAGGGGGTGACAAGACCCTTGGTGCCAAGAAGGAATGAGCTCTGCTCTTCCAAAAATGCTCTCTGGCTTTCCCAGGGCACGTGTGGCACAACATGCAGTGGTTGAAACACCATGCCACGGGTTTCAATGTCCCCACAGCTATCACTGGCCAGATTGTGCTCCTCCTGCTGCTCAATCTGTGTTTGGGGGCCAAGTATGACGAGCTCTCCCGCACCTCACAGGGCTGCAGCAAGAGGCTGCCGGACTGCCAGGGAGGCAGAAATCCCATCATTGCACCCTTCCCACCCAGCCCAGCCCCTCTGGGGAACAGGGCAGTGCAGGGGAAAATCTGTATTTTTCAATCACAGGCCTTTTGCCGAGGCACCAGGAGCACAGCCCCAGGCTAGCAGTGTGGCTGTCTCCTCCCTGCCTGGTATTGGCATGGTGCACGGCCAGGGACTGCCCTCAACAGCCTCCCCGAGTGGGCAGCAGAGGCAGACAAGTACACAGGTCAGAATTTATTTCCAAATACCTCATTTATATCATACTCACATGAAATATTTCTTTCGAAATATAGCCTACACTTAGAAGAGAGGTTTTGTTTTTATAAGGCACATCAGATTATAGACTACAGAGAGAAATCTCTCCCTCACTTGCGCTTGTAAAATACTGGTGATTTTAAAAGTAATATTTCTAAAACCTAGACCCTGTGTAGCCCCATGTAGAGCGGTATTCATAAAGGTATTAGACCTCAGTTTACATACACCTAGTGAAGGGCTATAACAAGTTGTATATACATCACATTTTCAGAGACAGTCACAGCTGGCTACATTTAAAAGTAATGCTACTCCAGACTATGAAACAGGGTGCTTATAAAATACAACCTACTGCTTCCAGTATGGCGTGATACAAAGCAGTATGATCTTGCGGAAGAAATACTGTTATTTTTGCACATGGAAGCTGCTGAGATTCAGCCTGTCTCGTCCCCAAACCCACACTTTTGATTGACTGAGACCATTTTACAGAGAAGCAAAGCACCCAAGAGAAATCTGGTTTTATGTTTTTCACCAAGATGACAGTATGACTGCATATCTGAAATCCTGTCAAAGCATTTGAGTAAGAAATATAAAGGCTCAGATGTTAACTTAATGACCAGTAAACATTAAATGATTACCAACCAGATGCAATCAAGTTACATGCATCCAGCTTCTGTGCTATGGAAACTGCTTTTCCAGGCTGTTCCAGTGCAGAAGCCAACACATTTTTATTGAATCAGGTCCTAGGTAAAGATTTCCATCCCATTTTCTACTTTTCAGCAATGGAACTTTACCCCTTCTGCACTCATACTGTTGTAGAAAAGGAAAAAATACAGCACAGAGCCCATTTACAGAGTGTCATTTTCTTTAATGGGCAGGACTTAAACTGTGGTCAGCTTTGTCAACTCAAATGGCTTCCACAGTTGTTCTTTGTATCGGGCATTGATACACTTCTGATAAAAACAAGGGTTCCAGCTTTCTGACACTGTAGTTTAGTTTAAGACTATGAAAAAGGTCACTTCAAGGCTATGGCCAAAGGAAAAAAGAAAAGGAATATAATCTGATCTTGAAATATCTAGGGGGAAAAAAGAAAGTACTCAGGGCCATAAAAAGGCAGACAGGCAGCACAAACTAAATGTCCTCTGCAGAATAAGTTAAAATACTGACTCTTGCAGAGAGTCGCATTACCCTTCAGGTCTCTTGAAGTTACCAAGGCTAGAATTAGACTTAGTTTAGTAGAGAGAGTTTAATCAGAGAGGAGGTCACACTTAACTCTGCACTATATTGATCACTCAGCTACATTTTAGGCACATTTCAATTAACCTGCTGGGACTGATCTGGGAAAAAAAATGATTGGTTAAATTTTCGGGATGGCCTCAGCCAATTTCACGACTATGAGCCTGAACAAGATTCAACCACAAGACTGCTGCCTTTAGAAGGGAAACATTCACTTGGTTGAAAACAGCATCATAAAGAGGACACAGCAGCCTCAGTTTCTAGAGTCTGGTTTGTTACAAATCTTGATCTGCCCAATTTGTTATTTGTTTAGCAGCCTTAAAAGGTAAGGAGGAGCATCCTGAAATTCTTGGCTGTAGACTTAAAACCAGATGCGGTTTACATAGTGCTGCATGGATATTTGTTACATCTCTCTAAAAAAAAAAAAGAACAAAAAAAAAAAACCCAACACAACAGCATTTACATTCCTTTCAGCTGAAACAGATGAACTGTCGTCATGTCTGCAAAAATACAGAGGAAACCGCCACTGCTCGAGGTAGCAAGTTAAAGCTTGGTCATGTTCCTCGGGCTTCCACGCGGCTTCCTGGGAAGGGCAGGGGAAGGAGGACAGAAAGGACTTCCACAGAGTCAGGAGGTGACAAACGAGACGTCAGCTCCATGAGGGATTAGGTTCCCTCCCCGCACGCTGAAGGTATATTCATGATCTTTCCAACCGTGGCATTTGCGTATAGATTACACCTCTCACACACCTTTTTTAAAGCAATCCCCGAGCGCGTTGGTTTGGGAAATCATGGAGGAGAAAGCAGGAGTGGGGTTTTAAAGCTACAAATGTCCGTTAGGAGGCACAGTGTTATTTTTCCCTTTGACCGTCCCTGTATACGTACAGAGCTCTACGTTTCCACCATCGCTCACTTGTTGCTCCTGCGAAGCCCTGGCAGCAAATGCCTATGGCATGCTCCTCCCCATCACGTACACCTTACAACACAAGACGTCGAATCCTTTGGACAAATCCTTTTACCCTCACAGACACGTGGTGCTATTCTTCCTTAATGAGAGGTTTTAGTCACGAAACTGGATGCCAGACCTGATTTATAGCAATTATTTAACTAAGAATCCTTCTGCCACCCTTGAAAGTGTGACCCAAGATATCCAGTAGCAACATATACACATACATACAGATCTACACTATACACTCGGGACGACACAGAATGAGATTTCAGCTAATATAGCCTCTATTCAATTTCCTCAGAGCAGCACTCGCGTCCTTGCAACCCCTATACAAAACAGCAGTATTTTTTCCACCAGGATTTGGAGAGGTTTTTCATCTTGTCTGGAGTCCTACACTTGGATTTCTTTGGTTGCTGCTGGGTATCTGAGTACTGAATACCAGCCACGATGGCCGCATCAAAGACCTCCTTGAGGTTCTTCTGAGTCAAAGCAGAGCACTCAATGTAGGATGCAGCTTTTATTTCCTCGGCACAGAGCTTCGCAGCCTCCTCCGAGACCGGCTTTTCTTTGCACTTGTCCAGCTCGATGAGAACTTTGACATCCTCCCGGAGGTCCGACTGCGTCCCAACCAGGATGATGGGTGCCTTGGGGCAGTGGCATCGGATTTCGGGAACCCACTTCTCACTCACGTTCTGGAAGGACGAGGGGCTCACCACGCTGAAGCACAGCAAGAAGATGTCCGTGTTGGTGTAGCACAGAGGCCTGAGCTTGTCAAATTCATCCTGCACAGAACAAAAGCGCGTTAGCACCCAATGGAAAGAGCACATCAGTCCCGGAGGACACCCTGATATGCTGGGTATGGTATAGCCACACAGATGAGATTTTCTGACTAACGCTACAGCTTGTTTTGAGTGCTTTCCTTCACTCTTTGTACACAAGCTCTCTGCCCTATTTCAGTAAAGGAGCAATGCTGTGGGCAGCAGGTTACGGCACACAACCGACGAAGCCAAAAATCAAAGTATGGGGAGAGAGAAGGTGCTTTCTGCAGGGCCACCTCTCCCAGGGGTGAGTCAGTGAGCAACTCCAGTGAGGAGCACCTGCGTACCTCAAAGCTGATATCCCTACCTCCAGATACGGGCAAGCATACCTGTACCTTTCCTGGAATCAGCTTTTAAACTGGAAGCTTTTAAACTGGTGACTACTTGACAACATCCTACAGGATATGGGAATAATTTCTCTGCCATTGTGCCTAAGGATTTAAATCTGATGGCAGCAATAATGACTCACAATGTGCAGGCTTAACATGCCAATGGCATAGAGTAAGAGCTTTACCTTTCCCTCCCACCCATGCCACATCAAACAAACTGCAAACAGGCCTCCCAGCTCTACCTTTCTTTTCTTTTTTATCTCTCTCTTTTTTTTTTTCCTTTTAGTGCAAACTCCAGCAAAGCAAAGCCCTTTTTCAGCTTCGTGAACTAGCCACAAGAAAGCCAGACATCTCATGGTAACAAAGGCGTGCTGATGCGAGGAATGCAGCAAGAAGCAAGGGTTAACTCCAGGCAGGCTGCTTTTATGCTGACAGCAGGATAAAAGCAGGGTAACACTAGCAGCCTGAACAGGTAGAATTTGCCTCAGCGGCAGTGACATTTTAATTAAAAAGGGCCGTGCTCTCAAAAAGCCCTGAATTGAAAGTGCAAAGAACACACACAGCTGAAAACATCTCGCTGGTATCAGCGGTTTACTGCCGAATTGCAAGTTCCATGTTATTTTTTCAAGATGTGAAGTTTTACTTTAAAGCCTCTGGAGACCCAGGATATGCAGTTTAAAGCCCCCTGGAAGCCTCAGAAGTCTTGCTCCGCTCCAATGAATTTCTTCCAGCAGTATCTCTGAGAGAGACAGTGATTTATAAAACACGAGTCAAGAAAGCAAGGTTCATTAGGTCTCTTGATTCTCAGATTAAGCCTCAGAGGAAACCAGGCTCTCACTGCTTGGCTTGACAGAAGCCCCGCATTTACTGAGAGACGCTGCTCTGAACGACAGGCCGCTTGCAGAAAGGCACCTTGCCATGTAATCACCTCTTCTTGCTACGTGAGAAACCGCAAAAGGGCTCCTCGATTCAATGGGTTTGAAAGCCAAACCCAGATCTTAAGGGTTTCTACCAAGATGAAATAGCGCCCTTTATATCCCAAGTACACTCCTGCGGTTTCAATGGTAGGTACGTGACCTGCAGCGACTCTACACCTCTGTGGGCTGGTGATGCTGAAATACAATTTCCCTCTGCCTGAAAGTGTTTTTCAGCTGTGGTTTTCAGCAGCCATCTCATGGCAGCAGTTTTACCAAAGCATATACATAGATATCCTTTATTCAGGATGCTTTCTGTCTGATGCTGATAACCCCTTCATTTTTAAGGCAGTGACTCTTGCCCATCCCAGCTGCACTTGGGCAGCCAAACATCTTAACCATTAAGGACAGCAAAGGCAAGAGGTGACTGGGCCAGCCCATCCCTCCTGCAGCTTTCGGCTGCGTTTCCACAGGCGCTGCCTGCCCACAGGCTGTCACTCAATGGCAATGTCACCTGCCACGCTCTGCATATGAGCCCACACAGGCAAGGCTGTCGCGGCACCACCCTGTCTCTTCAGCAGGGTGTGAAATCAGGAGGCAGTTCTGCTGTATCATTACCCACAGAAGGCTGCTCATAGGATTTTAGCTTTGCTTTGTAGGGCACATGAGAGTCCTACGCTGCTGTCAAGGACTGCATGGCCCTTCAAACCCCTTTCCTAAGTAGGGCGCCCAGTTACAACTCATCTAAGTAGGTTTGTGTGTTAAGGCCACTGAGATTTTTCAGCATGGTTTTGGTGAAGGTGTAGACCCAGATCCACAAAGCTGTGCAGGAACCTAACTCCCACTGCCTTCAAACGCCAGCTAGGTAGCCAAATATTTCTGGCTACTTTTGGCTATCCAGATGCAACCCCTGGCAAGCAGTGTTGCACTCTGCTCAGAGTGGTACAAGCCAGGGACTTGCAGAAAATATAAGGTGGTAAGAAATGGGTTCTTTTTGTGTGTGAGGCAAACTAGGAGGCGAGAAGCACCAGCCACTCCCAATCCATCAGGACTACAGCAAATCTCAGCACTTTTTAAGGGAGTGGGAATGGCAAATATGGTATCTCCATGGACAACACCCAGTAGAGCTTTTTTCTCCCTTGAGCTTCTGCCCCTTCAAATACACAGTTCCTATCGCTGGACACCTACAGCTGTGGATGCTTTGCATGTGTACACCCCAAACACCACAGTTCTTAAACCTGCAGTTATTTAGCAAAAATAAAGAGAGGAACAATGGCTGAAAGAGAAAACCAGGTGGCCCTTGACTCCCTAATATGTTCAGCTTCTTTAGTAAAGCTAAGCTGAGCAGCAGCTTGAGGCAGCAGAGCAACAGCCTGTGCCCAGCCCCTATGGGAAAGCACAGTTACATCCCTCACCCTTCAACAGACACTAGGCAAAGCAGTGGGTGAAGCAGCAGTGAAAATGATAGCAGTTTAATAAGATGATCAAACACTGGAAATCCTTTCAAATACATGAAGGCATTAGCAGGACTACTTTGCGCAACAACTTCTCCCCTCCCGCTGCTGTCACTTAAATCAAAAGTGGCTTCACTGACCTGACCAGCTGTGTCGCAGAGCTGAAGTCTCACAGGCTTGCCATCGACAGACACGACAGCTTTGGAGAGAAAGGAGGAGGGAGGGGGGAGAAAGTGTGTTGAGTCCAACTTTACATGTTTTCCATTAAGGAAAAAGGAAAAAAAAGAAAGGAAAGATGATTTACCATCTTTTAGTCCACTCTTCAGTTAGTTTAGATGTAACAACAGAGCTGAGACTGAGCCTGTCACTAACACCTGGGCACACACAAGCCCTCCAGGACTTTCTGAC